AATGAAAGAAGGAAATGGCAAGGAAGATAAAAAGGGGGGGGAGGGGGGAGGAAAGGATTTGTGAAAAAAAAATTAATTATCGTGAAACAAATACTCTACAATGCATACAAATTAGCAATACAGCTGTTGGTTCAAATATCAAGAAAAATACAAAAAATACAAAGAAATATTGCAGGAAATACAACAGGAAAACAAACTACGATGCAAAAAATAAAGCGATCTATTTAATTTGATAAAACTCCTCAACAAAGGCGGTTTTGGCTACTTTTACTGATCTTGTTCCAAACTTGGCTACACTATTTGGCTACTTTTGGCTACTTCAAGTCTATTACACCTTCTTGAGATTGGGCGGCTACGGAGAGAAATGTTCTGATTGGTATGTTTCAGGTGTATGGGCAGCAATTAGGGTCAGTATGTATATTAAGCAATTTATTTTCTCTCTCTCTCTCTCTCTCTCTCTCTCTCTCTCTCTCTCTCTCTCTCTCTCTCTCTCTCTCTCTCTCTCTCTCTCTTATCGTCCTACATATCTCTTCCTCCTCCTCCTCCTCCTCCTCCTCCCTCCCCTCCTCCCCTCCCCTTCCCTCCCGCCACCTACCTGACGAAGCGGTGCGTGTCCATGGGCACGTAGGAGTCGTCGTAGGGGTCGGAGAACCGCGTCCGGTGGTGGCCGTTGAGCGCCGCGGCCGCGTTGGCCCCCGTCGCCGCCGCCGCCGCCGCCGCGTTGGCCGCCGCGTTCTGCTGGAGGCCGAGGTTGACCATCTCCATGTTGATGGTGGTCGAGGACGGGCTCTTCTTGAGGATGCCCTTGCGCACCGAGGACACCGAGCTGCGCTGGCTCAGGTTGCCCGAGCGGTGGCTCACGGGCGAGTGCCGCGGGGACGGCTGCGGGCTCATCCTGCGGGGGAGGGCGTGCGCTTAGAGGCTGGAGGCTCATCCTGCGCGCTTAGGTCGGGGGGGTGTTAGAGGGGCGCTTAGGTCGGGAAGGGGGGGGGGCGTCGGTTGGGGGAGGGAGCTTAGGGAAATCATCCTGCGGGGGAGGGTGAGTTAGAGGGGCGCTTAGGTCGGGGGGGGGGGGGTTAGAGGGGGGGCGAATGGCGGAGGGAACTTAGGGAAATCATCCTACAGCGGGGACGGCTGCGGGCTCATCCTGCGGGGGGGGGGGGGAGGGCGTGTTAGAGGGGCGCTTAGGTGAGGGGGGGGGGGGGCGTCGGTTGGGGAGGGAGCTTCGGGGAAATCATCCTACAGCGGGGACGGCTGGGGGTTCACCTGGGGGGGGGGGGGAGAGAGCATGTCAGTAGGGGGATTTAGCTGATGGGACTCATCCTGGGGGAGAGGGGACGTCAGTTGGAAAGGGGGGTAGCCTGGGGAAGGAAGGGCGCACCAGCTGAGGGGAGCTCATGCTGGGGAAGGAGAGGGACGTCGGTGTTGAGGGGGACTCGAGCTGGGGAAGCGTCAGTTGGGGAATTTCAGAAAATCCTCCGACAGCGGGAATGAAGGAGGTCCGCCAGGGGAGGTGTGGGGACTATGGGTTAATTTCGAGACGGGGATTCATTATGAGAAAAAAAAATAGATTTGGATGAGCTGTATCTATATAAACACATACTTTTCTCTTTAATTGGACAGGATCGACTTCCGTCTGTATCAGAGAAATGTCCTATGTCTACAAAATGTACATCGTTCGTATCCATACTTGTCTTCCCTCTCAAATCCCTTAGGCTCAAGTTGGCCGAAGATTCGAACAACTTCTGGCTGTCTTTATCTACAAAATAATTCAGATAGATCAGATATCCACCTGGAGCTGACTCTGGGCGGATACAAACCCTCCCTGAGTCTATGTCCCCGACGCCCGGACCTGCATCCACGGCGCCCCCGCCCGCGCCCACGCCCGAGCGACTGACCTGAAGCTGAGCCTGGGCGAGTGCAAGGGGCTGGGCTCCGGCGACGACCTGGTGGAGACGCTGGAGGTGGCGTCTCCTCTGCCGCCCTCGTCGTCCTCGTCGTCGTTCAAGAAGGTCGGGTTCACCACGCCGGGGTCGTCGTTGTCGTCGTCGATCTTGTCCTCGCCGGGCATAATGTCGTCCTTGTCGTCGTCCGAGTCGTCGCAGCCCAGGCGGAAGTTCCCGGTCTTCACTTTGCCGTTGGCCACGAGCCCGCGGTGGTTCTCCAGAGCTTTCTTGGCGTCGCTGTGGTTCCTCTCCTCATCTCTGTGGTTCTTGTGGTTCCTCTCCAGGTTCTGCTGGTTCTGGAGGCGCGTGTCGAGGTCGTCCTCGCCGCCGCCGCCTCCCCCCGCGTCGGAGGGGCTGCCGGCCTCCCTGTGCTCGGCCTCCCTCTTCCTCCTGCTCCTGCTCCTGCTCTTGCCGACGAGGGCGAGGCCGTCGTGCGCGTCGGGGAGGTCGTCGTCGTCCTCGTCGTTGCTGTCCACGACGGCTGTGTTCTCGTTCTCGTCCGTCAGCGACTTGCTGTCGTCCTTCTGCCGCTGGCTGATGGAGGCGAGGAATGC